AGTGATCAGGTGTGCAGCTGCTGTGACTCCAGCTGTCCTACTACCAAATCCAGGCACTGGATGAGAATGAAAAGGGATCTGGGATCTAAAGAGGGCGAGACTCTCTTGCTTGTGGCTTCTCAAAATGAGAAGAGGGGATTCTAGTTCTTGTAGATGCTAGTGTTCCACTCCAGTAGTATGGACATTAGTACATTGAGGGATTGTGAGCAGAAGTCTTCATAGAAAACCATGGCACTGTATGCTGTACACAATCCCTCCTGCTCTTATTCTTGGGGAATGTAGGCAAAATGGGGAAATTCAATTGTTCTCTGGATTGCTACATGAAAAGGAGCATTATAAATGGTGTCCTTACCTCCAACATGCTCCTTAAATAATCTTGGCCGGGCTTATGTGAAAGTGAATGCTGTCTTCTGCAGTGCTGTAGGTATTTCAATCCAGAATTCCTCCCAGTTGCAGCTGCTGAGTGGGAAGGTGATGCCACAGTTGGTCCTCTGTTTGTGCTGGGAGAGCAGGCTGTTGACCGTCCAGCAGAGGTGAAAGGTCAGAGGTCTCTGCTGAGAGCACAGGAGGAAGGTGATGTAACAGGTAGAGGAAGCCTTTAGTACCCAACCTGTATACTGACTGGAGTCTCAGTGGAACTGAACTGGTCTAAAAGCATCTCTATGGCAGAGCAGCATGAGCTAACCTGTCATCTTTCCAGGAGTGTCTGCTGATCCTGGCTGCTCTGAGGGCAGTGGTGGGGTTGGTCTGTGTGGCTGTGCTGGGGACTTTTACAGGAGACTGCAGAGCAAATCCACTGAGCTGACTGTGGAGAAATAAAGGAGGGATTGGAAACTGTCTCTCTGTGTGATACTTGTTCCTTTCTTAATCCAGTGCAATGGATCTTGGGCTGGCTACCTTCAGAGCTGTTACTGCACTGGCTTTCAGCTAGTCTGACAGCCTTTCTTGTGCAGATGCTTAACATTAAACTGGAGCTCCACTCTGTAGAGTAGATGCTATGGGTGGGGAGCTTCTCTGCAGCTGATGATGGCTGCTTCACTGTTCATTGCTGCTGTACTACATGCTGCTCCCTCTGCTCCTGTGAGGGAGCAGCCTGGACTCCAGCCTGTTACACATCCCTGCCAGCAGCACATGAACGTGTTTTTTTTTCTTCTAATTCAGGTTCTAGTTGACACCGCATCCTTTATGAACGGTAGAGGAGAGCCACAAGGCAGCCACGTTTAGTATGTTGCCATCTGAGGCTCTTTACGGTCACTGAGACGCCTGCTATGATTCTCCGTTTCTTTGATTTTATGGAGTTACACGTTTTAAGGGATCTGGCTTTTTTACTTCGTTATGAGGTGAAAATGTTTTGTTGCGACTGTGGCGTTCAGTATCGAATGGAGCGGGCGTAGGACTCGGGAAAAGAGGTTAACCAGAATCGGGGAAAGGTACACAGGGACAGGGATTACAGCGCTACACCTACAGGCGTACAGAGCCTGTTTCCAGCCTCTATCCCACTACATACAGTCCCCTAGTCCCGCCCACAAGCGCTGTTCCCAGCCCGCCTTGCGTGCGCATGGCTCTACAGTATTATCAAACGTAAGTGTGTGGATGGAGTTTAGATTTCTAATACACAGTACCGGCTAAGACAAGAGCCTAAACAAAATTAGCTTGCATGAGCAGAAGAGATGTAAACGAAGGCTGAAAACCGCCGCTCCAGCTTCCTGTGTGTCTCAAACATGATGCATGTTTCTGTTGCAGCTGAGGATGATACTAATGTAAAAAAATGGTCCATTATCATTGAGATCGTAATTTGTTTCTGAAGCGTAGAAAAGAAAATCGGGATCTCGAAAGAGGGGAACGCCGAAACAAGCTATTGTAATTATACATAAAATGTAATCATATGTATTTCATTTGGTTTTGGGTCCGTTACATCCATGTAACTAACAAACGGTAGACATGACCCATTTTCAGTTAAACACGTAGAATATTCGACGTGTTCTTACTAGAAGTTAGCAGATTCTCGTTTGCTGCAATTGTATACATTCCGTATGTCTAAAAATCGGCCCTACCCGGACGAACAAAAGCGTGAAAGCAGTTCAGCGATTATACGTAAGCGGCAATAAAACGCATTGCTCTCCTTGCGGCTCCAGTATTTTACTAAATGGAGGTGTGAATTCAACCTGTAGCCGCTCTCCTCAGAGCTCAAGCGGATTAAAGCATACCTGTGGTCCACAACCCAGGCACAGTTCTAGAACGTTTTTTATCAAACTTTCCCATCTTCACAGCTTTGCTGATCTCACCTCCCTTGCTACTGATGGCTCTCGATTTAGGCGTTTTACCTTCATCTTTGTTTCTGCAATTGCTTTCCACAAAGGTTTCAGTGCAGTACTTTTTAAGTTATGATTTGCTATCATTCTTACGAAGCGGAGATCCTATTTGTTATGAATTTTCACACATCAAGGTCAGTGTACAGGCGAAGGTTCAAACAGGAGCTCCCAGGGTACTGTGGACAAGGCAGGCTCGGAGTCAAAGAAAGAAACGAGGTGGGGGCAGGAAAACAGGCTCACAGGAAGAACACGGCTCAGTACAACGCACTCAGGAGGTTGAGGCAAGACTTCGCGAAAAAAACGAGGCTTAGACAGGCTTTATATAACGTTACAAACTTTTCGAGAGTGTGGCAAATGAGGTGATGACATGTAGCACCCAATCACAAATCAGGGAACAGATATATTTTTGTACTTTCCATTTATGTGTATTGGGTCAAAATGTAGTGATCCCAGATCACCAGCTTGCTCTTAATTTTTCCTATGCCGAATCCCGGCAAAACATTTGAAACATTTCGAAACAGTGTGACGCCATGAAGTCGCGTTCAGCCTAGTCACGCGCCTTTTGATACGGACTTCGGAGCAGTGGACAGTATGGTAAAGCTATGCTCCAAATGAATCGAAGCAGTTTCGAGTCGTGTTTCTTTTAAACCAGTCGCATAAGCAAGATCAAATGATTCCTGGTTCAAACATCCAAACAGATTAGCAACCCAATGATGTCAAATTTTAAGCAGTGCTGATTTTATTTTGATTAAAAAATCACCGCTGAGGTTCTGTTTCCTCACTTGTTAACACATCATGGATAAAGACCATTCTTAAGAACGACGCTGGAGAGAACCAGCAGAGCGATCTGCGCACCTGGACTCAATTCCTGACCCTGGAGACGCGCAGAGCGTCTGACGTCCTCGTGCGCCCGCTTCAGCCTGCTGCTGTCCAATCGCCGAGCTCAGCCAATCAGCGCGCAGAGAGAACTTAAGGCGCTGAGCGCGGCTTTCCTCTAGTTCCTCTCTGAGTTCCGCCATGGAGAAGTCTGGGATTAGTGGGAAAGTGTGGATTCTGTGTGTCTTGCTTTTTGTGTTGCTGGATGTGGCTCTAGCCCAGAATCAGAAATGTCTGGTGAGCGATAATGACAAGGTGGTGTGTGGAGACCCAACCGTCACGAGAGCCGACTGTGAAGCAGGAAACTGTTGCTTTGATCAGACAAGCCAGAGGCGCTGCTACTATGGGAATGATGGTGGGTTTGTGTAACCTGAGCACTTCAGAGCAGGATTCCTTTTTTATAATGGGACTGAATCCAGCCTTTGTATCCCCTCAGTGACTGTGCAGTGCACCAGGGATGGTCAGTTTGTGGTTGTGGTGTCCAGGAATGCCACCAGCCCTCCGCTGAGCCTGGACTCGGTCAGTCTGCTGGGGGGTGGCAGTGCAGCCTGTGGCCCTGTTGGCACCACTGCTGGCTTTGCCATGTT